ATGTCTTCTCACCTCTTTTGGGTTCGGTGCAGCGACTCGCATAAGTAGACAACGACTTTTGATGGGTGCTATTAGTTTGCTGGTGCTGTTGGCACAGAGTATTATTCGCATGTTTGACATGTATTTCTCCATCGTTCGACGCAACGCTGCTTGGGCATCACGGGAAAGAGAGTCTGCCTCGTTAATCACAACGACTAACAAAAAGGTCAGGTTGACATCTGGTTATGATGCAACGTTGGATGGCACCTTTGAATCTATGCTTCGCGTTCAAGTCTACCTGCTGTGTCTGCGCAATTTCCTTTAACAAATCCTGAATGACAACTCTGTCATAATTTCCAGCTTCGCTTCAAAGTGCTTTAGACGAAACAGAAGAGTATAAAATGCCGAATAGCGAACCTAGGAGTGATCTCGATGTGAAAATTGCTTTGAACAATATTTATTTCCAGCTTGCGTTTCGAAGGTGAAATAAACACTCGTTGATCAATTTTGAGCTGTCGATTCGTGTTCATCAGCACCATCCAAAGCAAATCATAGTCTTCGCACCTTCTCAACACCAACTCCCAAATAACTGCCTTAAAGTACAACAGCTGATGCGTGTCTTCGTTCCAGCTCCAGAAGGCCCCGTAGAAGAGCATGTGTGGAAAGTCAGCTGACGCAGCCTGTATGTATGACACCATATTAGACGTATGACCCTAGAGCATCCAAGATTGACGTACCAGAGATTTCAATCGAGTGGACAAACTCTGGTGGTAGTGAAGGTCGTCCAAAGTTTTGGTCTAAACTACGCGAATATAAGAATTGTTAGCACCTAAGGAAACAAACGTCTCACTTTGTCTACCAGAGAGACATCGTTGGAAAGAGTTGAGAGTCAAATTGTAGTAAAGCGCAGGAAACGTCGAGTTGAAAGCCAAATTGCATCACAGCAGTCGCGGGACATCACGTGTTAATTGTCACGCATGAGACGGGCGCGGGTAGAATGTTCAAAACCGTGCAAGCTTCTGCATCAAACTCAGCAGGAACAATTTGAGAGTTGACATCGATCATAGATGAGTGTATATAACAGACCCTTCCAGCCGTTTACTATGATCTTCTTCAGGCTCCCAGCTGGCCCGGGTGCCCCCATCGAATGTCGTCTTGCCAATTGCCGTCACTGCCAGCATCTCAAACCCTGGCCTGCAGTACCAGAGCTTGAGATCACCACCGCCCATTGCCTCACTACCGCTCACTATCTCTCAAATCCATCGTATTATACCCGCGTCCGGTCCTACACACAGCGATATTGGACTTGGCGAAAATTCAATATTGAACTAACAACGCCTTAGTTTGTATCCTACTCTACGAGCTACCCAAGGTGCTGTCACCATCTGATTTGAGGGGGGACCAATGACCCATAACTTAGAAGCATTCAGGCGTGCTGTTTCTCCGCGATAGCGTGAGTCTACCACATCCTCTCGATTAAATTTTCCGATGACAAGCGAGCTAACCACGAACCTCTCGTTCTCTGTCGATCTTGGCTTCTTTACCATATGACTCGGATATGGACGTGCCTCACAATGTAAACACCTCTCGTGAGGTGTCATCCGATCGTGTACTCTCGAGTGCGACCGAAGGACTCTGGAATTTTCGATATCTTGTATTCACATCCCAGCAGTCACTACTGGCAGGATGGACGAATTGAGTCCTTTCTTCACTCTACGCAGAACTTCGGATGAGAATGTTCGTTTCCCAGATCATTTTCAAATGTAAACTACGTTCTAACTAGGTGCCTCGAGTCTGTCGAAACCATGTACAGGCTCGTCGAGAGCTTGGATACACAGCGAAGCATTGATCTGCCCTGTCCAACATTCGCACCAGCAGAGTCTCTGCTACGCTTCAGAGCATTTACCGACTCTCTCACAAATTCCTCGGTGACAAGAAGGTTACAATTGTTCTTGCAATCACGAACCTCAGAGAGTAGAGAAATCATGACCTGCAACCTTGTCGAGGCATTTGCTGCCGACGGGTAGAAGCAAGTATGGGACAATATGTTCGTGTCGTTTATGCGTAAGTTGAAGAAGTTGCTGTACATCGGAGAGTTCGCATGTGAGAAGGAAAGATCTTGTCCTTCAGCTCACGAACTTCGTTTGGGGATGTTTTGGGAAGTCGTGAAACAGTTTGCCAATATTATCAAGCGAGATATATCTTGACTTCAGTCCCTTTTGTCCTTGTCGATACGATGCATATACGACCAGTTCACTAGTCACTGGACACAAGTCTTAGACTATCAACCGATCGACCGCATGAAAATGAGCAGCCTCCTAAGAGCTCACCAGAGTATCAACGTGGTATAAAGATTGCAACAATATTGACGATACACGTGTAAAAGATCGCAATCCAGCATCAGTGAAAGTAAACAAAGTATAACGTATTCGAGGTCCCAAATTGCAAAATTAAATACAATATAAATCACAGCGGTCCGATCGTGGTATTTCCCGGGGAGGTAGGTAGAGGGGGAGTAGACTGGAATTGCAGCAAGGTTTCAATTTCAAAACTCAGGACGGTTAGAACACATGCTTACTGGGTTGGATCCGGAGGGCCCAGGTGCCGCAGATGCGGGGGCTCCAGAGCTTGGTGTGGAGGATCCAAGTCCCGCGGTCACGGCTGACAACGGAGGAACCATTACGGTCGGACCAGCAAGCGACGTTGTCGCCGTCATTGACTGGCCTGCTGAGGAAGGTCCGCTCGACTGACGCCGAGATCATACGAGGCAGTGACATGGTTTTGATTGATATGAAGCCATGGAATTTGGTATCCGCCACTGCCCACCCTATACGCTGTCGGTCAGTGCGACTCCATGCGTCCTTATTATGTGCCGACACTGACCTCGTTGTTACTACACTTTGGATGTCCAAATAGCCTAACGGAATGATGGGTAGGGACGCAAGGGCACCCTTGACTAGCTTAACATTTCCAAACTTTCCACTGTTGACAGTCTGCTTTGGAGGGATTACAAACGAGCTGAATGCCTGGTCTAAATGCGCATAAATTTCTCCGTTAATCAAGCCATCAGCCTGCACAAATGAGATCTCGAGTTCAGCATCGAGAGGATTTGTAACCTTGCGCGGTATGAGTTTTATATCTAGAGCATGCGTGAAATGGGACGTACGTCGAAGCTGAGATTGATTTCGTTGGTCACGAGTGTAGCTAAGGTGATTTCAGGGTATAAGTGGGAGATAATCGGGGCGACGTTCAAGCCTGCGACTTCCATGAGCGACAAGGGGTGAGCAGGCGCGATTCTGCTTACCCGTGACACTGCTTGTCAAAGTCACGCCTTCGAGTGCCGACTGGAGTGATGCAAATGGTGTACTCGCAGAATCTCCTTGGATAGTAATCGGAAGGCTATTGCCAGTTTGCAAGAAGCTGGTGAGGAAGGCCTACGTCACAGAAATAAATAACCAGGTTAGAATACAGTCCACGACACCAACCTCAGCTACGGTATCATTAGGGTTTGCAGGCTCGTAATGAAATTCTCCTGGAATCGTGTCTTCTCCTGGAACCAGGTTGAAGGGCTAAACGAGAAGTTCAGCTAGGGCTATATACATACCAACATTCACGTACATTGAATGCTGCTCGACCAATCATAACATCTTGGTAGTACACTGGCAGGGCAATGTCAACCGTGTCAAGTGAGACGTTGGACGGGTTGTTCATCGAAGACGTGAGGGGCGAGATAATATATTGATTCCCACCATTCCCACCACTGCCAGATATCGAGATGTTAGTTATCGTTGCCTTGCCATCAAAAGAGTTCATGCCTATGACACAGTTTTAAGCACGAATTGAAGCTGGTTCGTATTGAAACTCACCAACTAGGCTTGAAGTTACATTGAAAGCAATTCCTGAGATAGGAACATCGCCAATGGTGGTCTTGGCGGTCACATCAACGGTTTCCGCTCAATCCAAGGTCTGCTGAATTCTTGTCCGTCACTTGAGCAAACATAGCTTCAAAGGCACCGTTGTTGACTGAAGTCAATGGGACATTATGGAACTGATCGCAAGGCAGCAAGATTCCCAGTTGATACCCCTCCAATGTTGTTAGATTGAGGAAGGTTCAACTACAAAAGGGTCAGTGACATCTAGCATGGACCGATAACCAACGTTACCTGAGCGGCAGCTGTACCTCCATAGCTGAGATCCATGTTGACAGTAGACTGAATCACCTGTAATAGAAACCGAAGGGGTTCTTGTATTGCGCCACAGTGTTATTGGAACCTGATAATGGAGAAAATGCCTGGTCCTGCTTTGCATTGTCAAGCTCAAATCTGAGAGTGTGATGGATTGGATAATCTGTTTGTCATTAGCACAAGTTTATCCTGCGCAATTGTCAATGAACCTACGTCGAACTTCTTTCCGGGCAAAATAACATCGAGTGTGAGAGTCTTAAAGGCAGTACTGAGCCATGTTACTGGTCCGTTTGCACTGAAGGCTGAACAGTGTCGCCTTGGACATTCATGTAATATTATCCGCAGCCAGGTATTCTGAGAATAATTTGCCGATGGTGCTCAGACCAGAGCCACTTTGAGGTATCATTTGTCCGCTGAGGTGGGATGTCACTGAGGATTCAGGTAGGAGGACGAGGTCACTAGCGGTGAGTGCTATCAAAGGCATTAGGCAACGGTGTTGGCTATGTCAAAATTCTCTCACGTCCAATCCGAGTATTCTCGAAGTAGGCTTGGAATCCAACATTTCCAAGGTCGATGCCAAAGTTCTAGAAGAAATTAGAAAGAAAAGGGGGTAGCGAAGAAACTGTACAAACGCGCAGGGGAAGGAATGATTGAGTCTGTCGATATCCGTAATCCCTCCAGCCGGATCATCGGAGGGGAGTTGGAAGTTACTGATCGTGACACCTGGGAGACCATTAAATGCTTTCAAGGTGACCGTCTTCGACAATGAGACTCCATTGAAGATTGTTCCCAGAGCGGTTAGCTTGAGGGAGGAAGTAGAAATCGTCCAGTCAAAACTTGGATTGTGTAGCAAATATGTCGAAATGATGTGAACCTGGTTACTGTTGTCAGCATCTGCAAAAGATGCCACGAATGCAATTCTGCTCCACTGGACTTGATCGGTGATTACTAGCTGTCCTTGCGTGTTATAGTTCGGAACCCCGGTATTCGCGGCAGAACATACTGTAGGTTACAATGAGTATTCCGTATGTGGTCTGTTTTAACCAGCTAACCTGGGGCAGTGCAATGGTCGCAATATTATGGCCTTGCCAGGTCACCCTGTACCGACATGAGCACCTGCAGATACAAACTGTGCAAAGACATACGTCACTGGTTCAACAAACTCGATCAAAGCGTTTAGAGGGCCAACATTGGTCAAGGATCCTTGCAAGGAGAGCTGGAAGCCTCGTTTGTGATGTCCCTATCCCAACCATCACAACCAAAGTAGATGTTAAGTAAGTGGTTGAAGCGTACGTGATGTTTGCTTGGTTGAAAGCCAGCGTGGCACCGTTGACGAGGTCTTGGGTAATAGGACCACCTACGGCACCAATCAGATACAATGACGTCTTGTCCGTCTGTAATAAATCGAGTGATGAGCGTCGAAGCCAGTAGTATTTCAGACTCACAATAGCCGAAACCCCATATTGATTGAAGGCAAGATTTGTTGGGTCTAGTGAATCACTGAATTTATTGAACAACACGCAGGCAAGGTTCTTACAATCATCAAGTTTGACAGAAGAATCCACGGCAAGTGTGACTTGTAAACCTTTCAACGCGTTCAAAATGGCATCGTT